CGGCACGCAGAACAGCGTCTCTAACGATGCCTGTTGTTTCTACCCTCGCCGCTTCACCAAACATTCACTTCTTGGGTGAAAAACTGCCATGCTTGTCTCTGGTACCAGCCAAATGCCTTCACCTTTTTGAGTTCTTTGAGTGTGAGTAAAATACATTCCTTTTTTTTTTTTTTTTTACCCATTGAAAAAAATTCTGACCCTTTTTTTCCGCAGGGATAGCTCAAAAACGGCCGAACTTTGAAACTTCAGTCGTGGCATGTAACTAGTCCTTATTGAGAAGTACGTGCTTTACTAAGTTTGAAAACAGCACACGCTTTTGATTGATAGCTGGGGTGCTTGAGAAGATCAGGAGCGCAGCGAGCCGCTGAGCTGAAGGTGTCAGAGGAGCTGTGTGTGTGTGACTCTGGGGAGCGTGCGCGTCCTCACGTACGTCAGCGCCGAGCCGATCGCATTCGCTGAATGGGTCACCCGGCAAATTTAACCTCTCTCCTGCCTGTAGAGCGGCCGGAAGCAGGTGCCGGTTTTGAAGGCAGTGATTTGTGGCCGAGTGTTTTCAGAGCTGGGTTTCCCGTGAGCGGATCGCACCTCCCCGAAGGGGCATGGTCCCTGGCGCTCACGTCTCTAACGCTGTGCTTGGTTTTAGTAGGATCGGTAGGTCGCTGTGCCCTGACCGGCTGAATGCGCGAGCGCTCTTCTGTTCCGAGTAACGTGCACATGTCAAATGTTGTTGCCATTTCCACTTGCCTTCAAGTTTCAGTTTTCCATCCCTTCATGCCAATAAAATACCATCCGCAGAACTTTCACCTCTTCGGTTTCATTTTGAAAACTGGGTGTATCCGCAGAATTTTTTTCAGGCATTTATTTCTCTCTGATCAATGGACACCAGCAGTGACTGTGAAATGTTGCTCCATTTACTTAGGGAAAACTCACACTGAAGATGAAAATCACCCCTGTGCAGTGGGCTGGCTGAAGGTACGCGTCACTTAATCCCCGCTTCACCCTCATTGTGAAGGCCCAGATGGGACTTGAATGGTGCTCGTTCTCTGCAGAGGGGTAAATTTCTCCCTGGGCGAGTGATGCCCGCCTGGAGAGGGCAGGATTTGGCTGGCAGGGCCTGTTTGGGGAGTCCTGATGTTCTGCCCGGTTACGCCGCAGCAGGCCGCCGTCACCTGGAGGGCTTGTCCACCTAGGGGTTTCAGAGGGATTCAGACCTTGCGAGGGGTTGGCATCAGCTGTAGCTGTAAAGATGGGATATGGTAATTAAAGCGCTCACACGGATCCTGGGAATTAGACCAGCTTAGGTGCTTATGAGATGTTAGGAATTTATACTCCTTATGACCTTGTGACTCCCTTCTCGCCTCGTACCTGGGCTGGGAGTACCCACGCTCGCACCCGAGAGCGATGCCGATCCGCCGGGACGGTCTGTACACGCTTTATCTAACCAGGGCCAGGGGGTGTCCCTTTTTCACTTGATTGTGCCTTCAGTTTACTGAGAATTAAAACTTCTCATTTAACTTGAGCCCTGGGGCTTCGTGGAGGTCACTGGGGTGAGGTTAAATGGCCTAAATACAGAAGAATCGGAGAAAAGGGGCCGTGGCACTG